TAATGAATACATTTGTATATAAAATTTGAACATAATCAGTCACAGCAAGTCAGAGATATGGCACTAGAACCACATTTATTAAAACAAAATGGCCACCAGTCAGCCATTTTGAATTTTATCTGAAAAACAAAATGATGTGCATCAAGGTCTTATAATGTCCAACGTATATATCAAGTTTGAACAGCCGAGAAATGCTTGATTTTGAAGATTTTTTAGCATAAAAATGACCACCATTCGGCCATCTTGAATCACATCGTGAAACAAATTGACATGCATAAGTATAATATCATGTATGATGTATGTGTGAAGTTTGATTGTGATTGGTCCAGGCATTTCTAAGATACATGTCCGATTGCACGTACGCACGGAGGTCAAAACATAAGTCCCCATTTTCTGACTGCAGTATTCAAGCTTTGTGTCATTTGGACAAAAGCGCCCTCACTAGTTACTTATATTCTTGCTGTTGTCAGCATGCATTGAAGGAAGTTCAAAATTGTTTTTTGCTTTTTTTTTCCAATACTGTATAATACTGAAAAGACTTTTTAGGTGTATTGTATGGAATTTATTTTCACTGATTTTTGGCGAGTTGAATGTAAAAGATAGGGAAAAAGGTATATTCACTGGATTTTATTTTGACCAAATCATTCCTTCAGCGAAAATAACGAAAATTAATTGCAAACAAAAAAAAAGGGTTCTACAGTATATATCCTGGAAACGCATCCCAAAAGAAAACCAAATAAACATACATTCTTTTACCAAGTGACATGTACCTTCTTATGACCAAAAAAAAAAAATGTCTGCCAGAGAAGGACTTAATGTTACGTATAAGATAACCTCTTTTTTTATCCGATGATATCTGATGGCATCTTTTGCTCTATGAACAAGTTGCACTGTTAATTATTAATTAAGTCAACATGATACATGTACTGTGCTTTAGATATGTTGCAATTCTTATAATTACATCATTCACGACAGTGTCTTAATTTGAACTCAAATGTAAATCTGAAAATATATCCTGATCTTCTAAAAACTGCCAATGCACATGAAGACAAAAAAATACTACTAGCTGAATGCAACGAGTATAATAAGCTTCTAGGTCTAGTACCTACATACACTTATGCATTAAATACGAAAAGGCAGACTGATAAATTTGAAGACACATTAAAATTAATGTGTTTGATGCATATAGGTGAATAGCTAACATCTCCCCAAGGTATTATGACATTTATCGATTCAAATTAAAACCGTGCATATTGAATCAAGATTCATTTTGCACACATGGATGCTTAGGTGAATGGATAAATGGTATGATAAATATTGTATCTCACTGTTGCAAATCCATCACACACAAAGGCAATTTTAGTTGGACTGTGATCAAGTTAAAAGCACTCTCCTAATATTCATTTTGTTATGTGCTTCCAGGAGGTAAAAATACTGTGTTTTTTTTCGTTTTTTTTTAAATTGTGGTAGTGAGATCATTTTTTAGACGACACCAGCTGGTAACAATAATTAAATAAATTGTCTCTTTCTACATGAGTGGAGAGAGAAGGCCTTTTAATCACAAACGACTGAGCTGACAAAACAGTGATTAAAGTCAGAGCAAAGCACCTTTATTAGTACAGCTAAAAGACTGTGTGAATCAGAGTGTAAATATGAAATGGCGGAAGCTTGTTTTCATTTAATAGTTTCTAGATATTGTTTTTTCACTTCTTTGCTGCATTTGTTAATGGTAATTTAGAGGCAAGCAGATTTTTATTGACATAGCTATATGCATAAATAAATAAAACTGTTTTTTTTTCTGGAATGTCAGAGACAAAAGAAATTAAAATATAATTGTTGATGGACAGACAATCAGTAATATGAAAAGAAAAACTAATCAAATTTCTTTTAAATGTTGTATCTATCGGTACTAGTATACTTTAATTCATTTAAAAATTATGTTATGCTAAAGATGACAATATGCAAATCTTGTAATTGATATGCATGAATAAGTTACATTACTGTGCTGCTACATCTATCAAGATTCAGTTTAAAATGTGTTGTATGAAGCATTTATGAAATGCAAATTAGATAATTAGTATGCACACATTAATTCCAAAAGAATAATATGTTATTTTTAGTGATATGTTCACTGCATTTCCATGTTCCCAAAAGCAGACACTGGTCAAATTATATTCATCAGATGTTAATTCCCAAAATGTGAACAGCCCCTTCAAAAAAACTCCATTTCAACTTGGATTAAGTATCTGTGAAGCATTCAAATTTTGGTGAAATGCAGTATTTTGCATATTTTTCTATAATTTTGGAAAAAATGGGAGCAATATCCATTGCTGATATGTCTGTTGACAAAAATAAGGAAAGAATTTACAGTTATCTTTGCAAAAGTCAACGAAAATTTATCAAATTCCATTTGAAATGAAGTGCTGCTCAATTTTAGAATTATACACATGGAAGGAAAGACCATGGCTGCTATCTGCGGGCTGCATACACTACACTGTATGTACAACTGTGTGTAAAAAAAATGCAGTTCTGGCAGTTTTTATCAGTGGAAAAACTCCCAACCTATGTCAATTATTATTCTAATCATAAGAAGACATTGTTGTATTATGCGCGAGAAACCACAAACTTTAGATACCAACTCTATTATGTTATCTTGATTACCAGTAACACTCATTAATATTAATAAACAATTCTAACTAAATCACTCCAGGTGCTATAAATTATTTTATTACAGGTTATTAGGTTAATGGCTGATTAGCTCTGATATCTATGGGTGCGATCATTGTTTCACTTATCTTGATAAGTAGAATTCCCTTTATAATTATCTAGCATTATTGAACACATGGGTATGCCACTTTGTTGCCATGGCAGAGTGGTTAGCTCATAGTAATGCACTGTCTAGGAGTAACTCATGCCAGTATGTATTGAATTAAAAATATTTTTTAAAGCAAATAAAAATTGTCGTCCATTACACTAGCATCAATAGATGCCATGATGGAATCCTTTGCCCTACAGCATCAATGGATGCCATGATGGAATCTTTTGTCTCGAGCATCAATCGATGCCATAATGGAATTCTTTGCA